CAGACAAGCTCGCAGTTGGCGAGTGGCAGTGTGACGGGTTGGAGCTGCAGAGATGTAGAGGACGCTCGTAGCGTTTGCAGCTCGGAGTCTTCCTGTTGTGCGGAGGCCAGTTCCGAAAAACTGACAACAGGAGGTGTTGAAACACCGTCAATGCGTGAGAGTGCGTCTGCTGGCGTGTTGTCCGTTCCGGCGACATAGCGTAGATCAGTAGTATACTCGGAGATATACGAGACGTGTCGAATTTCTCTGGCGGAGTAGGAATTGTGATTTCCCACGAATGCGTAAATCAGGGGCTTATGGTCAGTTAGCACGTGGAAAACTCGGCCTTCCAAGAAGTACCGGAAGTGCCGAACGGTCGCATAAATTGCAAAGAGCTCGCGTCCAAACGTGCTGTAGCGTGTCTCTGCAGGTTTGAGCTTTTGTGAGAAGAATCCAAGTGGATTCCACCCATTTTCGCCGTACTGCTGTAAGACCGCGCCGACAGCAACATCGGACGCGTCTACCATGATACGCGTCGGGGCGTTTGACATGGGATGCACGAGTAGTGTGGCATCGGCGAGGGCTTGCTTGGCCGCGGTGAAAGCCTCCACTGCGCTGGTGGTCCATGATAGTTGTGCCGAGGACTTGCTCGGAGCTCGGAGCAAGTCTGTGAGAGGCTGAATGATTTGTGCACAATGTGGGATGAAGCGCCGATGAAAATTAATGAGGCCCAGAAATTCCCGCAGCTTACGTAGAGATTTGGGTTGTGGAAAGTCTCGTATGGCTTGCACCTTAGATGGGAGAGGTTCGATGCCATCGGGAGTGATGAGGTGCCCTAAAAATTCCAGTGCCGTAGTACCAAAGGTACTCTTCGCCACATTGATTGTAAGCCCGTAATCGCGGAGGCGTTCGAAGAGCAGGCGCAGATGTGTTGTGTGCTCCTCGTGGGATTTGCTCGCGATCAACAAGTCATCCACGTAGGCAAATACAAAAGGCAGTCCATGAAGAACTTCGTGGACGAATCTCTGAAAGGTTTGCGCGGCGTTTCTCAATCCGAAAGGCATGCGAACGTACTCGAAGAGGCCAAATGGTGTTGTGATGGCTGTCTTCGGAATATCTGCAGGCTCGATCGGGATGTGGTGAAACGCCTTCACCATGTCGATTTTGCTAAATATAGAGGTTCCTCCCAGGTGTTTGGCGAAGTCGTGTATGTGAGGCAGTGGGTAGCGATCGGGTTGTGTATGGGTGTTTAGCGCCCTGTAATCACCGCACGGCCTCCAGTCCCCTGGGTCTTTCTTAGGAACCATGTGGAGTGGTGATGCCCAAGAGCTGTTGGATGGTCGAATTATGCCTAGTTCTATCATATGCTCGAACTCTCGTCGTGCTACTTGCAGGCGTTCGCCAGACAGACGACGAGGGCGAGCAAAAACGGGAAAGCCGGAAGTGACGATGTGGTGTGTCACTGCATGCGGTGGCGGCTCTGCCATGTTGGAGGACTTCGTGATTTCAGGAAATTCTTTAAGAATGTCTGAGAATCTTGAAGGAGGCAGGATGTTCCGGATGCAAAGGGGAGGTAGTGTTGTGGACACGCCGCTGACAGCCAGATGAGTCTTCCTGTCAGTAAGGCGTCGATGGTGCATGCTGACGTCCAGATCGAAGTGTGAAAGAAAATCTGAGCCTAAGATGGGGTAGGTCACGTCAGCAATGATGAAAATCCATCGAAAGATCTTACGAAGCCCTAAGTCCAGGGTCAGAGATTGTCTGCCATATGTTGGAATGTTTGAGCCGTTTGCCGCGACGAGATGCGAACCGGGCAATGGACGTTACCTCTCTGCATGTGTAGGTGGAATTACGCACATTTCAGCTCCTGTGTCGACGAGGAAACGGCGGCCCGTTATTCGGTCTGTGACGAAAAACAGACGGCTTGTTATAATCATAATGCAATTAAATGCAAAGGGGCAAGCGAGCTGGACAATAATGATGAAAATAATCCCTGGAGAAGGGGAACAAGAGGGACAAGGGACAAACATAAATCTCCAAACACAGCTAGGTGACTGGTGAGCGACCGAAAAAATCCGCCTGGTCCGGGTATCGAACCCGGGACCTCTCCATTACAAGTGGAGCGCTCTACCAACTGAGCTAACCAGGGGTTAGACGTCAGTAGAGCAAACGGGTTTTATCAGCTGCCACCAGTCTAACACCAACAAGGGTGAAGCTTGCAATTTAATGTTATAATCATAATGCAATTAAATGCAAAGGGGCAAGCGAGCTGGACAATAATGATGAAAATACTCCCTGGAGAAGGGGAACAAGAGGGACAAGGGACAAACATAAATCTCCAAACACAGCTAGGTGACTGGTGAGCGACCGAAAAAATCCGCCTGGTCCGGGTATCGAACCCGGGACCTCTCCATTACAAGTGGAGCGCTCTACCAACTGAGCTAACCAGGGGTTGGACGTCAGTAGAGCAAACGGGTTTTATCAGCTGCCACCAGTCTAACACCAACAAGGGTGAAGCTTGCAATTTAATGTTATAATCATAATGCAATTAAATGCAAAGGGGCAAGCGAGCTGGACAATAATGATGAAAATAATCCCTGGAGAAGGGGAACAAGAGGGACAAGGGACAAACATAAATCTCCAAACACAGCTAGGTGACTGGTGAGCGACCGAAAAAATCCGCCTGGTCCGGGTATCGAACCCGGGACCTCTCCATTACAAGTGGAGCGCTCTACCAACTGAGCTAACCAGAGGTTAGACGTCAGTAGAGCAAACGGGTTTTATCAGCTGCCACCAGTCTAACACCAACAAGGGTGAAGCTTGCAATTTAATGTTATAATCATAATGCAATTAAATGCAAAGGGGCAAGCGAGCTGGACAATAATGATGAAAATAATCCCTGGAGAAGGGGAACAAGAGGGACAAGGGACAAACATAAATCTCCAAACACAGCTAGGTGACTGGTGAGCGACCGAAAAAATCCGCCTGGTCCGGGTATCGAACCCGGGACCTCTCCATTACAAGTGGAGCGCTCTACCAACTGAGCTAACCAGGGGTTAGACGTCAGTAGAGCAAACGGGTTTTATCAGCTGCCACCAGTCTAACACCAACAAGGGTGAAGCTTGCAATTTAACGTTATAATCATAATGCAATTAAATGCAAAGGGGCAAGCGAGCTGGACAATAATGATGAAAATAATCCCTGGAGAAGGGGAACAAGAGGGACAAGGGACAAACATAAATCTCCAAACACAGCTAGGTGACTGGTGAGCGACCGAAAAAATCCGCCTGGTCCGGGTATCGAACCCGGGACCTCTCCATTACAAGTGGAGCGCTCTACCAACTGAGCTAACCAGGGGTTAGACGTCAGTAGAGCAAACGGGTTTTATCAGCTGCCACCAGTCTAACACCAACAAGGGTGAAGCTTGCAATTTAATGTTATAATCATAATGCAATTAAATGCAAAGGGGCAAGCGAGCTGGACAATAATGATGAAAATAATCCCTGGAGAAGAGGAACAAGAGGGACAAGGGACAAACATAAATCTCCAAACACAGCTAGGTGACTGGTGAGCGACCGAAAAAATCCGCCTGGTCCGGGTATCGAACCCGGGACCTCTCCATTACAAGTGGAGCGCTCTACCAACTGAGCTAACCAGGGGTTAGACGTCAGTAGAGCAAACGGGTTTTATCAGCTGCCACCAGTCTAACACCAACAAGGGTGAAGCTTGCAATTTAATGTTATAATCATAATGCAATTAAATGCAAAGGGGCAAGCGAGCTGGACAATAATGATGAAAATAATCCCTGGAGAAGGGGAACAAGAGGGACAAGGGACAAACATAAATCTCCAAACACAGCTAGGTGACTGGTGAGCGACCGAAAAAATCCGCCTGGTCCGGGTATCGAACCCGGGACCTCTCCATTACAAGTGGAGCGCTCTACCAACTGAGCTAACCAGGGGTTAGACGTCAGTAGAGCAAACGGGTTTTATCAGCTGCCACCAGTCTAACACCAACAAGGGTGAAGCTTGCAATTTAATGTTATAATCATAATGCAATTAAATGCAAAGGGGCAAGCGAGCTGGACAATAATGATGAAAATAATCCCTGGAGAAGGGGAACAAGAGGGACAAGGGACAAACATAAATCTCCAAACACAGCTAGGTGACTGGTGAGCGACCGAAAAAATCCGCCTGGTCCGGGTTTTATGTTTGTCCCTTGTCCCTCTTGTTCCCCTTCTCCAGGGATTATTTTCATCATTATTGTCCAGCTCGCTTGCCCCTTTGCATTTAATTGCATTATGATTATAACATTAAATTGCAAGCTTCACCCTTGTTGGTGTTAGACTGGTGGCAGCTGATAAAACCCGTTTGCTCTACTGACGTCTAACCCCTGGTTAGCTCAGTTGGTAGAGCGCTCCACTTGTAATGGAGAGGTCCCGGGTTCGATACCCGGACCAGGCGGATTTTTTCGGTCGCTCACCAGTCACCTAGCTGTGTTTGGAGATTTATGTTTGTCCCTTGTCCCTCTTGTTCCCCTTCTCCAGGGATTATTTTCATCATTATTGTCCAGCTCGCTTGCCCCTTTGCATTTAATTGCATTATGATTATAACATAAAATTGCAAGCTTCACCCTTGTTGGTGTTAGACTGGTGGCAGCTGATAAAACCCGTTTGCTCTACTGACGTCTAACCCCTGGTTAGCTCAGTTGGTAGAGCGCTCCACTTGTAATGGAGAGGTCCCGGGTTCGATACCCGGACCAGGCGGATTTTTTCGGTCGCTCACCAGTCACCTAGCTGTGTTTGGAGATTTATGTTTGTCCCTTGTCCCTCTTGTTCCCCTTCTCCAGGGATTATTTTCATCAGACGGCTTGTTGTTGGCCCGACGTCACTTGCCGCCTCTAGTGACGGCCGGAGCGTTTCCCTGCCATTCGCACGGCTGTTGGCACTTACGTGCGTCGCTACCGAATTTCTGGTGGTACCAGCAGAGGACGTCAGTCCGTCGCTGTGAAGGACTGCGACGTCAAGAGGATCTACTTCTCCGACGACGTCTCGAGTCGTTTCTCTTTGTGCCGAGTGCTGCGACGGCGGTTGTCAGGGCGTCGATGCGGGCTTCAAGGGCTCGCATGGCGGAACACTGATTAGCGTCATTCGTGACGCTTGATAGGGCGGGGGCAGCATACTCCGCGACGCGGTCAGCCATCTCGGCAAGGCGATCGAGTGGAAGATCGGTGGCTGGTGCAAGCGTCATGCGAATGCCTTGTGGCAAGCGCTGGAGAAACAACTCCCGTAGAATCAGAGTGTTCGTGTCCGAAGCTTGCTCACCTAACAGCTGGCGCATGCGATGAAGTAGCTGAGAGGGTCGACGGTCGCCCAGCTCCTCTGTGTTCAGGAGCTGCTGTAGCCTTGAAGCCTCTGACTCCGTCTTCCTAGCGAGGATCGTCCGCTTGATGTAGTTGTAGGCGTCGTCGGGAGGGGGAGACGCCAGTACGTCGTCCAGCTCATCAGCCACCTCTGGGGGAAGAGCGGAAACCACATGGTAGTAGCGGGCGCTCTGGCTTGTGATGTGCCACAGGTGGAATTGCGCTTCCACTTGGGAAAACGAGGCCCGAGGGTTTTTCGCCCAGATGGCTGGAAGGCGGAGTTGGACGGTGGAGAAAGCTCCGTCGCCGTTGGAAGAGGTGCCAGCAGCACTCTGGTTCATGTTGGTCGGACGTCCGGGTCACCAATTTGTCGGCGGTGTTCTATAAACGCCGGAGGAAAAATGCAGGCGTCCGAACCAGAGCAATTTGGCTAGAGTCAACTTCTTTCTCTTTATTTTCCTGGCTCCCAAGCCACGAGCGCTGGCAGAGGCTGGCGCTCGTGAGAACCAGCATTGCGAGCCTAGCGCATCTGTCTGTGTCACTATACGGTTATCGCCTTGCTGCTTTGTATCTGTTCATTGCTTTGGTGTAAAATCTGTAAATGAGGAGGATGAATAACTTGAGCATGTTTTTTGTCTTCGCCTCTGGATGGATATCACAGCCTAACAAAGGTACATCTATCTTTGCTAATAAGCAGAGTAGTCAACAATATTTCTCACTGAGCTTGTTGAGACTGAAGAATGTTGTGAGAGAGGAAGGTAGCAGCTACAACAGTAGGCCGATTGCGCACAGCGCCCCCTGGAATATCTATATATGAAGTGACTCCCGTCATTCCCCCCCGGGACAACCGCTCTAAACCTACTGATGTCGTCCACGTCGCCCGACTGAAACGCTACCACCGCCAACTCCCCTAGCAGCATTCCCGGCGAACCGGCCCTCTTTCAACGGGGAGATAGCTGTTAGGAAGAAAGAAGAAGTGGGGCTTTACCAAAAAGCCCCGCGCATCTCGGGCAGCAGCGGAAACGCTCGAGGTGTGCTCGGACGATTGCTCCAACGGTTGTACTGGCGACACCACCATAGTCAAATCTCTCTTCATTGTTTTAAACTCATATGTTCACTAAGAGCTTGACAATATGCTTAGTTCTGTTCTGCTTCCTTTATATTGATGATGCTCAGTTGAAATTCTTACTTTTCATGACTTTCTAAATATGCCCGTCTGGTCGCCCATGGTTTCTTGGTCCCTACGACTATTGGCCGAGAGATGAAATTGAAAGGGTTCCTTCGTACTGTAGATGACAAGCTCAAGAAAACGTTTGGCACATGGGATGTCGTCTGATTACGATTGGAATGATTCTTAATATTCAAGAATATGACAACCTTTGCGAAGGCGAGTAGACAGACGCGGTCTAGCATTTTTGAATCAGATCTCAAATTTGTTCCAGGAATACTTAAAGGAGGATATTCTTGCATCAAACGACATATTGAATGATATTCCCTATCCCGTAAAATGTTTCAACTCCTAAATCGGCGGTCACAGTTCTCATACACCTGAGAGTCTGCCGACGATGTCCGAGTTTCTTCCTTGCAGAAAATCCAGTCGCATTTCCCCTCGCGCTTCGCGATTTCCTCTTTCCTGCAGGCAGCGATTCTGAGTTGTAGAACTTCCCGCTCCTTATCCAGTCGGACACATTCCGCTTGACATGCGCGTTCTTGCGCCGCGTGCTCTTCTCTTGCCGCCTCCCGTGCCTGCAGCCTTTCCTCTCTTTGAATATTTTTCTCCCTCTCAACCCAGACCTTCAGCTCCTCTCCAGTGTATCCTAGTTCCCTTCCAGCCGCCATCAATTTATCAATCTCTACAACCCCGGACCCAGTCATGGTCGCGTACTCTCTCCTCCGGACCAACGAGATCAGGCTAATGGATTAATGCAATCCTGGCAGGCTCGCCAAATTGTCATCGTCAATCGGGAAAAGAGAGAAACGACATCCGTGAGAGGATAAAAAAAAAAGAAAGGAGATATTTACAAGAATGAAGATAGGAACGTGTCAGCAGCGATACAATAGGAAAAGAATTAGCAATACGAAAAGCAAAACACTGAAGGCAGTTAAAGTCACGTCAGCACACTCATAGCCCGTTCCCGCTACCGTCCTTGCCTTCAGTTCAAGTCTTTCTTCTCGGTGCCTTGCGGAGCGTCGCCGCTTGATGTGATGATGCAGAAGCCGGTGTCTCGTACTCCCCCTGCAGTTGCTCGTAGCAGGCGTCGCCGACCGTAGCAGCTGGTCCTCCCTCCGAGCTCTGGTCGTCACCGTGCGTCGCGGCCCGACCCTGGCTTTCACTGCTGCTTCTCCTCTCGCGCTCGCCGTTCTCTTCTCGCACTCGCCATCCTCTTCTCGCGCTCGCCGTTCTCTGGAACGCGCTCGTTCCCTTCCGCTTCTTTTCTTCTTCCACCCGTAATAATCGTCACAGGCACGTGACAATATTCCGCCCTTTGATGGAACACGTCTAATGGTCTCCAACCAAAAACGTTATCACGCTTTGTAAGCGTCCGGCGAGTATCCTTGCAAAAATTTTATAGTCGCCGTTTAGTAAGCTTATTGGTCGATAACCGTCTACTCATCGACTCTTGTCTAGATCTCGAGGCTTCGGAATCAGTACTGTGTGTGCCTTCCGAAACGATGGAGGTAAGCTTTCGTGTCGGTATGATTCCTCAAAAACTTTTAAGAGTATGGGTGATAGCTTCTTGCTCCATTTTTTTTTTTAACTGGCCGGTAAACCGTCTGGTCCTGTTGCCTTTCGAGACATCATTTCTCTTATATTCAGTTCGACTTCAGCCACGTCAATAGGAGTATTTAGAATCTTAGTCATATCTGGTTCAAGTTTTGGTAGGTCTAATAAGAGGGAGTCCTTCATTTGGTTTGGTACAAAATGTGGTCTTGCAGCAAATAAATTCTCGTAGTGCGAAACTAAGGCATCTTCTATTTCCTTTTCATCGTTCAGTGCGCGACCATTTTCGTTTAATGTCGTTATCCGTTTCTTCTTGATATATTCTCTCTCCACGTTAAGGAATCTTTTTGTTGGTTGTTCCCCTCCTATTAATTGCAAAGTATGCGTTCTTACACCAGCTCCTTCATAGCGTATTTTATCGTGTTCTTTAATTTGTGGTCTTATATTATTTACTTCATCCTTGTATTTTCCGGGCTCTTGGCACTCCAAACTGTACAGGTAAAGGATGTCATTGTTCAGACGCCTTTCTTTTTTTTTTTCATGATACGCAACAATTGATGATATTTCTATTGCAATTTTTCTTATCTCCAATTTAATAGATTCCCATTTTTGGCACCATCCTTCTTTGGTGCATTCAAGTATCTCTAGTGCTGATTCTACACCTTTTATAAAGTTGTCATTTTCAAGGAGCCTTTTGTTCAGTTTCCAAAGGGACCAAGCCGGTTGTTTTCTATTTCTCCCCCTGGGGTGTTTTTATACCTACACGCACTTGCATTATGCAGTGATCAGAGAAGAATGCAGGGATCACGTTGTAGCCACTTAGTGCTGTATTAACTGACCCAGATATATATATTCTATCTAAACGAGCATGGGAAGACCCTTGAAAGTGTGTAAAACAGAGTGCGTGATCTGTTGCTGAATCTATCAGGTTGCATTCTTGAACCAATGCTTTTAAGGCTTCAGCGCTTAGATCTACGATGGTTATGGATGGAACTCTATCTTTCTTATTTATTACACAATTGAAGTCCCCAAGCAGAATCACGTTAAATCTCGTGTTGGCGTGAATTCTAACCTGACAGAAAAGGCCTTCCCTTTGCGCTGCGTTATTGTATGCATACACAACAATTATGCGCCAGGGCTGATCTTGCAAAATAATGTTAGCTACCATTAGACGACCGCTGTCAGCCCCTTCGAGAATACTACACATTTTGTACTTTAGATCTTTCTTAAATAGAATTGCACACCCTGCAGAGTAATCAACAGCAGGGCAGTGAAACAGATCGTAGGTATCCTTCCACAAAGTGCATCCCGAAAATAAGGTGTTTTGTTCGGATACTTTTGTTTCTTGCAGGGTCACAATGTCGCTGTCATTTTTTTTTGGTACAAAACGAAAACGTTGGTATTGTTTTTTCTTCGAATTTATCCCTCGCACATTTATGGTGGAAATTGTGGAGCGACTTATCTGGGTGCTCGTGAGAGGATTCCTATACATGCTTTGGGTCGAGTTCGGAAGTTGCCGGGGAGATTGTTTTTCGGTCTTTGAATTTGGATTTCACCCGCTGTTATTTGGGTTCCAGCCGTATTTGCGGCTCGGTGGAGTCCAGCAGGATATTCATGGCTTCCGGTTCTCCCGTCAAATTCTCGCTGGTGTCAACCTTGGCTCTTTTGCAATGGTGTTCTTCCTTCTTGGTCTCTGCCACCTTCGTGTTTTGCAGGGATTGCTTTCTCAGCTCTTTCCCGTTGCTTGCAGTAGCTTCTGTTGGTTCTGGGTGCGGCGTTGGGGAGGCGCTTTCATTGCACCTTTGTTCCTCCGATGGGCTTTCGTTGAGGCTGCAAGGAGGGTCGTTGTTCTGGATTGCTGAGTCATCGCCCGTTTGCGTACGTTCGACTTCCTCATTGAACATTTCTTCCACGTCCATAATATGTTCGCTATGATCAGCGTCCGGTGTTGCGTTTCCCTGGAGCTTTGAGGCGTACGTCACTACACATTCGTCATTTGTGTAACCAAATCTCCAGCACTGCGTGCAGCGAGGTGTGAAACATTGCCCGCGGATGTGCCCGATTCCTTTGCACCTCAGGCAGAGCGGTGGTCTTCCAGGAATGACGACGAGCGTATTGGACCCGTACCAGTTCAAGAGGTGTGGGATCTTGTCCACCGTGAGGTCCTGCTTCAGGACGAGGGTCACTTCTCGGGTTGTTGTTTGGAGATCCTCGAGTCCTGAAAATCTCCACGTTTCTCTTCTCATGTCCTTCACTGTCCCGAACGGCTCTAGAACCTTCCTTACTTCGGAGTCTGGCATAGGAATGGGCAGCCATAAAAGCTTCATCTCGATCTCTTCTTTGCATGGATCGATTACTATGCACCTTTTTCCTTTGATAATGAACTCTTCGTAAGCTTTGATCTTGAGCTTTGCTGCAGCATTTCCGAAGGTCACCATCCATACGTGGCTCATTTGATACTGGCCTAAGCCCAGGACGTCCTTCCGATCAACGATAAAAAATATTCCGTCCTTAAAGTCGCTTGCCTTGTACGGCCTTCCGGTGATGTCAGCATGTAAGAATAGTGAGTTGGTGACGAGCATACCTTGCGGTAGTCTTGGAAGTATAACCTTGTAGTCA